TGTGGTGGATGGATCTATTAGCTCTAGAATCCAAATTATTATTCTCTCTTTTCTGGTGCCTTAAATTTTTTTTGGATATTAAAATGATTGGGTTTTGCCAATAGTTCAAAAACCATGTGATCAAGTGGAACCTGTAAGTAGAATTGGTCATATCTGATATTCCCCTAATATCGAATTGAGATAGTGCTCAACTTTTCTCTTGTTTCAAAACAAAACCTTCTGCCTGTCATTTTGCTAAATTACTTGATACAGGCTTGAGATCATTATATTTAAACTAGAGGTATTGGATCATAAGGCGCGGGAAAGAGCTGGAGTTATTACTCCTACCCTTGGTTTCCCAGTTCCAGTGCTTTTGCAGCTTGATGCTGCTAGTGAGGTATACACTTATTTTCTTTTGTTTTCTAATTTTGATATGTGGTTATGAATGGAACTCAAAAAGAGAAAAAAAAAAGATGATGGTTGATTGGCCAGTTCTCATCGTAGTGAATCATCTTTCAACGGGGACATTTTTCCGAAGGATGGCATTATAATTTTCCTCACTGCCTAAAACTGTAGCAGGAGCATAGATCTAGTATTAATGATTATATTGCCTCCTCTAGAGGAATGTGTTCTTCTAGAGTTATTACTCCGAGGCAGTGCAGTACATTTAAATTGTTCTTATTGTGTTATTTCCATTTTTTAACAGGCGTTGGCGTTGCAATCTTTGCCCATCAAATATGGAGTTTTCCGGGCTATATACAGATATTGGAAAAATAAGGTATGAGATAAACCATTGAGAGTTTTAGAATATAGTTGTTGTGTAGTTTGATGATAGTTGAGATTTTTTAATGAGAAGTTGTTGATGGCTCTTTGGGCATACGCTTATAACACTAACTAGTAATTAACTTAAGAGCTTTGTATCCTCTTAGCGTGAAAGATGGCAGAAGCCTATCTTGCGGCGTTTACAGGTATATCATCATTTGGACTGGTCTCAATCGTACTAATTGAAGAAATGAAATAATTCTGAAAAATTAGATAATCTTGATTTTTTTGTTTGGAACAGCCTCCACCACCGGTCAATGATACCAATCCGTACAATGTGTTTAGGCCACGGGAGAAAGCTCATAGACTACACACAAGAAGGGTAGGCTCTCTTGTTGTCTGTGGTTTATTAATTTCCTTATTTTACTACATGTGTGAGTATGAAAAATGCACCATAACTTACTAACAAGAGTTTAACTCTCATTTCAGATGCAGCGGAGAGAAAACAATGCACAGTCATTTGAAAAGCTTCGACAGGTAAGGGAAGGCCTGAATCTGTCAGCTTCTCATAGTCTTTCTTGGATTCTCAAACATATTCTTCTTTTCTGTTCTGGGATATGTTATTATTAGGTCAGGCGCAATCTTGACCAAGCAAAGACCATTCTAGAAGCTCTTATCAAGGTCACCTAAATGACATCTGGATTTTGTGATTTGAATGTGATTTTATTGATATATTAAGAGAAACCTGCATGCTCCGTAGGTATTAACTTGATTAAAAACATGTTTTAACTTTATAGAGAGAAGAGAAAAAGAGGGATTTCATGGCGAGTGAGGTTAGCCTTCAGAGAATCCAACTCAAATATAAGGTACTCATCTACAACCTGCATCCAGTGTCCTTTTGTAACCAGAAAGAGTTGTGCATTTCGACCTGCAACCTGATGTTTTGGGTGTTTTTGATATGTTTTGCAGAATGAAACCGAGCTCTTGGAAGATAGTTTGGCGCTGGCTGGGTTTCCACTCTCTACATCTTACAGATTTGGCTCAAGCGAAGATGAATTCATGGACTCCGATGACCCTACCACCACCCAAACATGTACAAGGCCTTCCTTTACCCCTCATCCTCGTTTCACCGACTCAACTCTCGCTCGAGCTCAAGCTGGGAGCATAAAGCAAGAGGCGAGAAGACTCGGATGGCTCCACAAACTGGTAATTCTTTAGATCCTCTGTATTGGAAACATTTGAGATTATTAGATAACTACATTCTGGTGACAAGAAAAAGGAGAATTACATTGACTGTTTTTTGTTGTTTCTGTGTAGAATCATAATGAGCCAGTTATGCTGTTCACGAAACCACTGGTCCCCGATAAAATGGCTGCTGCGGGAATCATCCCTCCATCAGATGCAAGAAGCGGAAGAGCTCGGCTTCAAGGACGAATTGGTAGAGGCGGGCGGATTGTATTTGATAGATGGAATCCTCTAAACCAAGCCCACATTAACTGTGGGAACACTTTCTACATAGCACCATAACATCTCTCTATAAAGCCTCAACTAATTTCTTCTTCTTTCTTGTAAAAAGTTTTCCCCGTTAGTTCCCTCACCAATGGTGGTGACATTTTGTGTATCTCCTCTAAATTTTGTGTATTCTTTGGTTTTCCCCGGTTACTTCAACAATTTCGGTTACCAGTAATCGGTTATTCTGTGAACTTTAGGTCCGGTTAGTGACCATTGGTCAGATATTAACTTTTTCAGCAATGGTCTGGTTTGGTCCACGTCTTGAGAACCTGGAATGTGTGAAACTTTAATGGAATTGGCTGTCATACCAAATAAAACCGGGTTTATTTCCCGGTTATTAGCTGAGTAAGTAGTTAACCAGAAGGGTCAATTTGTGATTTGATCGAATTTTGTTGCTCCTCTTATTCCGATGATCGTGAATCACTAGCAAAGGATTCGTGTTCTTGTGAGATCGAACTTTCTCTGGGTTCGTGCAGAAGCTTACTTCTTTGAGTATCGTGTTTAAGGTTCGGATGGAGTTTTAGGCTTTTTGTTGGTCTATCTCTTGTTCAATGCTTCTTTTGCTTGATTAAGCTTTTCAACTAATCGGATTTCTCTCTCAAATCAGGCAAATCGAAGAAGAAAGACCCAAATTTGATATTCGGAGTTCTATCGATGGCTTCGTTACTGGCTCGCAGGTCGTTCAGTGCTCTTCGAGCTCGACATCTCGTAAGAATCTCGTTGGCTCCATATAAATTTTCCATTTTATATCGCTTGTGTTCCTAGAAATGTTGAATTGCTGCTTAGGATTTTTGGAATCACTACTTGGTATAGTTCCTCTATGCATCTCTTTGTATTGCGTTGGTAGAATTGGGAATTGAACATCAATCGGAACTGGAATGAATCTGTTCAATTTCTGACTTAATTTTTTTTTTTTTTTTTGTCTTCCTTCGAATTTGAAGATTTAGGGATTTAGTTTATTGTTATAGTTGACTCTACGTGTAGCAGATAGGGGAAATTTTATCATTCAATCGTGAAGCTTCATTTTGCATGTAATACTCTTCCTTGAAGGTAGAATGTGTCGCCTAAATGTTGTTATCTCAATCTCTGCAAATACAAATACTTTAACTGAGAGCGTCTTGGTTGTTAACTTTTACTTTCAATAGCTTCTTTTGGTGGGTATGCTATGGAATTCTTCTCCCATTTAACATCTACCTTGTCTTCGTTGATAGGCTTTTTCAGGGCAAGGTTTACAGGGATCTCATCTCTGTGGGCTACAGTCCCGTGCTATATCTTATGGAAGCAACAAAGGTATAATTGTTTTGTTGTTGTTTGGGTTAATTAGGCTATGACTTTTCAGGCAGATATGTTACTAATGCTTTGCCTCTTGTAATATGCAGATGATGAAGAAGCTGAGCAGCTTGCTAAAGAGATCTCCAAGGACTGGAGTACTGGTAAGCTATTTGATCCAGACACTTTTCAACCTTTCCATTCTCGTAGCTTTCCTTTCTGGTTACTTTCTTCTGCGAGTGTTAGCGATTCCTGACATTTCTCACTTTTACAGTCTTTGAACGGAGCATGAACACCCTATTTCTCACTGAAATGGTCAGGGGTTTGTCGCTGACCCTCAAGTACTTCTTTGATCCAAAAGTTACAGTGAGTGACAGTCTTCTTTGACTTAAGTTATTAGGTTGAAAGAAACATAATGTGATTCTGAAGTTCTATCATGTGTGCAGATCAATTATCCTTTTGAGAAGGGTCCATTGAGCCCTCGCTTCCGTGGTGAACACGCTCTTCGAAGGTATCCAACTGGGGAAGAACGCTGCATTGCCTGCAAACTCTGTGAAGCTGTGAGTTATTGAAGTCTATGCTACTCGAGAATTCATAACATAGCGCCATATTGACAGAAATTGTAATTTTTCATGGATGCTGGTCTTTTTTCTCATCAGGTATGTCCAGCTCAAGCAATCACAATAGAGGCAGAGGAGCGGGAAGATGGAAGCCGCAGAACCACTAGGTCACCCTCTAAGTTCCCATTTATTAATCATATGCTTTCTTTTTAATACTGTCTTTCTTGTCTCTCTGGTTCTTCAATACATTTCGGCGTAGTGTAGTGATGGTTTGGAACTGTACAGGTATGATATCGACATGACAAAGTGCATCTACTGTGGTTTCTGCCAAGAAGCTTGCCCTGTTGATGCAATCGTTGAAGGACCAAACTTTGAGTTTGCAACCGAGACACATGAGGTCTGAATAAACACTTCATAAAGACATAAGATTGCCCATGATCTTAAAAGTTAATATGTGTATTATTCGATAAATGATGTTCTGATTCTTTTTTGGTGTGCAGGAACTGCTGTATGACAAAGAGAAGCTTCTTGAGAATGGAGATAGGTGGGAGACAGAGATTGCAGAGAATCTGAGGTCGGAGAGCCTCTATCGCTGAATATTGATCCGAATATGCCTTTTGCCTAATTCTTCAGGAAACGTTTTCGTTTGCTTCTGTTACAAATAAAGATGCTTCAGCTTTTGCACTGTTATTGTAATCTGTATTGCTTGAGTTCATACCGATGGCAAAATCAAACTTGGGTTTGTTTCCGGTTGTAGCTGGACGGTGCGGTAAATGGTTTATACCATACCAAGAACTTGGAAAATGAAATGTGATTCAATGGTGTTATCAGTCTCACTGTCGGTCGGTTAGTCAGTCAAACAAAGAATTGCTAATATCTGAAGAGAACCAAAAAAAAAAAAAGAGTAAAAACAGAGAACACCAAGGATAAAGTTGTAATTTACAGAACTGGCATGAACATGCACATATCCTAATTGGAAGAAACTCCAGCTCAGAAGCTTACCCCATTCTAAAATTCGCTTTCCCATCTTCTTTTACTTGTCGGTTTCAGGATCACTTTCAGAGATTGAGTTTAGCCGTGCGAGTGCGACATCGTCTGCTCATTCGACTTTACTGCAACGTTCTTCTGCGGTCTGGAGAATCGAGGATCGTAATCACAGGTAAAGTTCTCGTGTCAGTGATCTCGTAAGGAAGAATCTTTCTCTCTGGGCTCTGATCTTTGCGGTTGAAAGATTGCTTCTTTGCGTATCAATTTTACGGTTGGATTTGAAGTCCTAGCTAGGTTATATCTGAATACACTTAGGTTTCGCTTATGCTTGGTTGTACTATTGATTATGATTCTGCTGGTTAATTGGTGTTGCTTTAGGGCTTTCACGTTACACTTGCTCCCATGGACAATGATGTTTTCCAAATTCGCCGGTCCATGCGAGATGCTATGTAAGTCTTCATTTTTCACATTCTTCTTGCATTTTCTTTCTTTCTTTCTATCTTTGTTAGTTGCTGCTATACTATGGATTAATGCTCTAGCTTATTACTGATTTTGGCTATGTACTCCTGCATACCTGCTTTGTTTCTTAAGAACCAATATCATCTATTAGTGTTTCTGCTTCTGAAATGTTACTTATTTGGATTCCAGAGTCTTGTCACATTGGTGTTTATAGTTGTTTCCCTCTGCGTGTATTAATACCTTTAAACCCTCGATCTTCCAATCTTTCCAGCTTCGTCCTGTTAGAGAAGCGAAATCCACTTCCGACTGATGATGCATCAAAGGCCAAATGTTTAGATGCTGTTGCTAAACGCTTAGAGGAGCTAATTTTTAAAATGGCTATGACAAAGGTATATCAGATATATTTACACGTTTAATTATATGCATTTAGGATCTGATTTACTGATGAGTTCCAACTAAACAAGACTACTGGTTGATGCTTTCTGACATGTTGTCACTGAATCCAGCTTGTTTGCTTTACGTCCTTGTAAATATTTTCGTTTCTAACACTTTCTTAACTTTAAAACTTACAGGAGGAATACTTGAACCCGTCAACCCTCGAATCTCGCTTGAAAAGCTTAATAATAGGCAGGTAATCGAATAACTACAATCAGCAACATGCTAATTCTTCTTTGCTTGGAACAACCATAACAACTACTCCAAGAGTCTCTGCTGAACCCACAATGGTACATACGTTGAAGACCTATTATAATTAATTATCCACGAGCTTATATTGAGAGGCGTATAATGTCATATGATAAAACATTCAGAACTATGTGATGTTCCATATTTTTGTTTTTGGTTTGGAGCAGGACAACGAGAACAGAGATCAGTACGAGACAGAGATTGCTGAGAATCTCAAGTCAGTGAGCCTTGAGCACTGAAGATTATGAGAAACGTCTTTCTCCGACTTGTTTGGAAACGTTTTCATTGCTTATGTTACAAGGAAAAGATGATAACATATTCAATACACTACTACAGGCAGCTTCTGCATTGCTACTGTATTGCTACTTGTAAGATCTTACGAACGAATGGTAAAACCGGTTAGGATTTGTTTCCGGTTAGGCTTGGAACATGTATGAATTTGAATGGTTTATTATTTACTCTTGATAATCGGAACAGAAAAAAGTAGTTGCCAAATTAAACAGAGCAAAAACTACAAGGGTGAAGATTTAAATTATTGGAAATTTGATCGGACGGATAGGAGCGCATGTATCTCCGACACTTCTCCTTGGCTGTTGGATTTTCTTCTACCTTGGTTTCGCCAATTAACTTTGGCAGGTTCCTTAATGATTCGTATTCAGACATAAGTAACATAAGGTAAGTCTTATTTAATGTGTCTTTTCTTACTTACAAAACCAAAACCAGAAATCCCTAAAAAGGGAAAAAAAAATCAAAATCCCCAAATCGAGTGAGCGCCCGAAAAAACCCCAATTCGAAGAACTCCGACTTGTCTGATTTCGAAAAATTTGTCGATAATTCAATTTTCTCGTCTGCTAGGTTTTGGAGGAATCTCTTTCTGGGATTTGTCTACGTACTTGTGTTTGATCCTAATTTTCCTCCTGCGTATTTTTTTTTTTTCTCCTGGCTTGTGTGAGTTCACACGTGCGACATCGGCTGTTCAGCGGGCGACTTTATTGCTCCGTTTTGAAGATTCGATCATCGTAATCTTTAGTAACGTTTTTGGGGGAGAATTTTTTTGCTGGGTTCTGCTCTTTGCGGCTGAAGTTGCTTCTTTGTGACTCTCAATTTCAAGGTTATTGCTACTGGGCTTAGTTGCTTTGATCATAGTCTATGATTTCTAGTTCAATTGAATCGCAATCAGGTCACTTCAATTTTAAAAGAGTAAAAGATTATTTTGCAGGACACTTGACGGTGCTAGGTGTATTGTATGTTACGAGTTGCTACACTGAGATCACCTAAAGAATAATTAAGAGCAGGAGATGAACTTTCGATCTTTTGGCTTCTCGGGGACAGAAGAGTTATGCAGTGCCTGTTAGTGCTATTTGCAAGACGAATTAGGAGAAGGCGACGAAGATTTAAGAGATAACATGAATGTTCAGGCTCACATGTCGGGACAACTCTCTGGGCAGGTTCCAAACCAAGGGACAATCCCGCAGAATAATGGAAACTCTCAAATGCAGAATGTAGTTGGTGGTACTGGTGTTGCTACTGGTGCTGGTACTGCTACTGGGGTAAGGCCTGCACGTAACATCGTTGGTGCCATGGATCACGATATTATGAAACTTCGACAGTATATGCAAACTCTTGTGTAAGCCTTCAATTTCAGCTAGATATTTTATTGTTTCTGCTTCTTGAAATGTCTTGATTGTTAGAGCATAGGTGACTATTTCTAACTGACCCTTCTTGTTCTTCCATTCTTTCCAGATTTAACATGTTACAGCAACGGCAACCATCTCCTGCTGATGCTGCATCAAAGGCAAAGTATATGGATGTTGCTAGACGTTTAGAAGAGGGGCTGTTTAAGATGGCTATCACAAAGGTATCTCAAAATATTTCTGCGTATCTAAAAGAAAATTACTTAATTGGTACTTAGCATAGAATTTGGCTTACTGGGTATTCCAACTAGAATGGCTGATGCTTTTTTTACATGTTGCCTCTAGATCCAGATTCTTGACTCATGGCCTTACTTAAATTCTTTCTTTTCATTTGGGACACTTTCCAACATGTACTACAGGAGGATTACATGAACCGGACAACCCTTGAATCTCGGATTACAAGCCTAATAAAAGGCAGACAGATGAATAACTACAATCAGCGACATGCTAATTCTTCTTCGGTTGGAACGATGATACCTACTCCAGGATTATCACAGAATGCGGGTAATCCTAATTTGATGGTTACATCCTCTGTTGATGCTACAATAGTTGGCAACACCAACATCACAAGCACAGCTGTGAACACTGGAAACCCTCTAATTGCTGGTGGCATGCATGGAGGTTCTTTCATTAAAGTGATCTACTTTTTCCTGGAAATTTTCATCTCATGTTTCTCTGACACCTTAAAATCTTGTTTGCAGGTAATATGTCTAATGGATACCAGCACTCATCGAGAAACTTTTCTCTTGGTTCTGGAGGGAGCATGACATCCATGGGTTCTCAAAGAAGTACTGGCCAAATGATTCCTACACCTGGGTTCGTTAACAGTGTTACTAATAACAACAGTGGTGGATTTTCTGCTGAGCCCACAATTGTACCTCAGTCTCAGCAACAGCAACATACTGGTGGTCAAAATAGTCACATGTTGTCCAACCAAATGGATGCTGGCCTTAGACCCGACATGCAATCAAAGCCATATGGTGTGGCCAATAGCTCTGTAAATGGTGGTGTTGGAGCGAACGAAAAAAGTGTAGACTCAGGTTCATCTTACACTAATGCGTCCAAAAAATTACAGCAGGGTAACTTCTCTCTTTTTTCCTTCTGTCCGGATTATCTCATTTCATATGTATGGTCATTTGGGGTTTGACGTTTGTGAATGACTAGTACATATACCAGTCAGCATATTGAAAGCACGTTTCATATTTCAGGGGAAGGTTATAGCACAACAAATCCTGACCCCTTCGATGGAGCTATAACATCGGTTGGGACGAGGACAAATGCTCAGAATATCAATACAGCAAGTTTACAGCGTGTGTCCAGAGTTAGCTCTTCTCTGGTGAGCAATCAGTCAATTTCACTTTGCATGCAACAATGTATACCAATTAAACACTATCACTTTGAGTATTCGGACTTTCAATCTTCTTTCCTCATTATCTGCAGTCACATCAACAACAATTTCAGCAACCGCCTAATCGATTTCAGCAACAACCAAATCAGATTCAACAGCAGCAGCAGCAATTTCTCAATCAAAGGAAATTGAAGCAGCAGACTCTGCAGCAACATAGATTAATAAGCAATGCTGGCTTGGGGAAAAATCAAGTGGATTCAGACATGATTACGAAGGTGAAACATGAACCTGAGAGTCAGGCTGCGCACTCCCAAGCATCTGAACGATTCCAGCTTTCTCAGCTCCAGAATCAATATCAGAACTCTGGAGAAGACTGCCATGCAGACGCTCAGCTTCTCCCAGTCAAAAGTCAGAGTGATATATGCACACCACTCCCTCAAAATAGCCAACAGATTCAGCAAATGCTGCACCCGCAGAATATAGGTTCTGATTCTGGCAACAGTTTTAGCAATCTTGCTGTTGGAGTAAAATCAGAATCCAATCCACGAGGTCAGTGGCCTTCCAAGTCTCAGGAAAATACTCAAATGTCTAATGCTATTTCAAGTGAAAAGCACAGTCAGGAGGATTTCCGTCAAAGAATTACCGGAATGGATGAAGCTCAACCTAATAATTTGACTGAAGGGTCTGTTATTGGTCAAAATCATACTTCTACTATATCGGAATCCCATAATTTGCAAAATTCTATTGGTACCACATGTAGATATGGAAATGTAAGTCACGATCCCAAGTTCAAAAATCAACAGAGATGGCTCCTGTTTCTTCGTCATGCACGGAGTTGCAAACCACCAGGAGGGAAGTGCCAAGATCAAAATTGCGTAACGGTTCAGAAACTATGGAGTCACATGGACAACTGTGCTGATCCTCAGTGTTTGTATCCCCGCTGTCGTCACACAAAGGCATTGATTGGCCACTATAAAAACTGCAAGGATCCACGGTGCCCCGTCTGTGTGCCAGTGAAGACCTATCAGCAACAAGCTAATGTGCGCGCCCTGGCCCGTTTAAAAAACGAAAGCAGTGCTGTCAGCTCAGTGAATAGATCTGTAGTATCAAATGATTCACTACGCGCTAATGGGGGATCGGTTTCTGGTACCCCTCGTTGTGCTGATACTTTAGATAATTTGCAACCTTCATTAAAGCGGTTGAAGGTGGAGCAGTCTTTTCAACCAGTGGTCCCTAAGACTGAAAGTTGTAAAAGCTCCATTGTTTCTACAACAGATGCAGAATTTTCTGAGGATGCTGAAAGAAAGGATCATAGGCTGTTGAAGTCAGAGATCTTGGAAGTGAAAGTGGAAATTCCTGATATTTCTGTTCAAGCAGGATTCGGCATCAAAGAAACAAAAAGTGAACCTTTTGAAAATGTTCCCAAGCCTAAGCCTGTCAGTGAACCAGGTAAACATGGTTTATCTGGTGACTCGCCAAAGCAAGAAAACATCAAAACGGAGAAAGAGCCTGGACGGCCGAAGAAAGAAGATCTGGTGGAGTCTCCTGAACTTACATCAAAATCTGGAAAACCAAAGATAAAGGGTGTTTCTTTAACTGAATTGTTCACTCCCGAACAAGTGAGAGAGCATATTCGTGGTCTTCGTCAGTGGGTTGGCCAGGTTTGCTATTTTGTTTACTAAAAAGTTGACGGAGAAGCAAGTATATTCATATATCTAACATTGTATTTTCTCTTTTCTGGATTGGTTTTATCGTTGTTGTTTTTTAAAGATGAATCTCTAGCTGTGTAATTGTTGATGAATACCTTGTCATTTAATTTTTATGTGTGTGCAGAGTAAAGCCAAAGCAGAAAAGAATCAGGCGATGGAGAATTCGATGAGTGAGAATTCCTGCCAGTTATGTGCGGTGGAGAAGCTTACATTTGAGCCACCACCTATTTATTGTACTCCTTGTGGTGCTCGAATCAAGAGGAATGCGATGTACTATACTCTTGGAGGTGGTGAAACTCGTCATTACTTTTGTATTCCCTGTTATAATGAATCCCGAGGAGACAGTATTCTCGCTGAAGGGAAGTCAATACCAAAGGAAAAGCTCGAGAAAAAGAAAAACGATGAAGAGACTGAAGAATGGGTAAGACTCCACTCGGTAAAGTGGTATTGTCATTTGCCTCCCGTTTTGTAGGTTTTTCTGAGTTTGGCTATTGCGTTCCATGTTTTTTGCAGTGGGTCCAATGTGATAAATGTGAGGCCTGGCAGCATCAAATATGTGCTCTATTTAATGGGCGGAGGAATGATGGGGGGCAAGCTGAGTATACCTGCCCAAATTGCTATATAATTGAGGTGGAGCAAAATGAGAGAAAGCCTTTACTTCAGAGTGCTGTTCTTGGAGCGAAAGATCTGCCAAGAACAATTCTCAGCGACCATATAGAGCAGCGGTTATTTAGAAGGCT